ATCGAGTTCAAGATCCTCGTCCTCACCTTTAAAGCCCTCCGTGATCTTGCTCCTTCCTATCTCTGCGACCTAGTAAAGTGTTACAAATCTCGGGTGTCTCTGACACTGGCAGAAACCAATCACCGTTGCTTAAGAGTATCCAAACCAACCTGAGAATTCTACGCATCCCTCCTACACATGGAAATCCCAGAGATAGATTGTTGAAATGGGATGCGCTCTTTCTCTCTCTCTTCCTGGAGAGAGAGCTTACCTATTTCCGGAAGGTATTAGGTACAGGCTGGCAAGAGCCAAGGTTTGGGGGAGCCTAATGCGTGCGTTGTGGTAACTGCTGTTAAAACCGCATAGCTTGCCACTGATAGTACTGTCTGGCAAGCTTTCCAGCTTGGACCATTGTTAAGGCTTTGGTTTGCAGGGTTAACAGGATTCCCTGCGCCCTGTGACTGGTCTGTCTTCCAGGTCCTGCTGATGAGCCAGGCTGGCTGGATTCCGACATCCGGTTGCCAGGCATGTCACCCTGGAGCCAGTTCAGCTTCAAGGAGACCCTGCAAATGCCCAGGTAGCCAGTAAAGTGACTGTGACCGTACGTACCGTTAAACTGACTGCGTTTTCCCCCTTCCCCTCAGCAAGGTGACGGCCAAAGGGAAGAAGCCCTCTCCGTCCTTCGTCCTGGAAAAGCACGACATTCCCATTGTGGTGGGCGTCACCCTCTCCTTGGCCATGATCTTCATCACCATGGGGGTCTACTCCTTGAGGCAGAAGACGACAGAGAACGGCGAGACGGAGAGACGCTGTAAGTCACGCTCTGTGTCTGGCGAAGTGAAAGGAGGGTCAAGATCCCCGCCCTCCAGAGTGTTCAGAAATTGGCAAATTCTTAATAATAATAATAATAATCATCATCCTTGCATTTGATATATCGGGTCGTTGAGACGTCTCAAAGCGCTTCACAGAATATATTGTGAAGTGGATTGACTGTGTAATTTGTGGGCGAAAGGCGGTGGTCAATTGCTCACAGCAACGTCCCACAAACAGTCGTGGATTGAGTGACGCAAAGGAATTATTTAAACCCTGCATGTTGTGACTACACACGGCTTCACTCTGTAGCTCGAGTTAATCTTGCAGCTTTAACGATCAGCCTTTCACCGCCAACAATGTTCCAGTCACTGACCTGGTGTCCTCTACAGCTATGTCTGAGCTTGATCACAATTCGCTCCCTTATCAGTCGTCTTTAGGGGGAGGACCAGCCTGACCACCCCCCCCCCCCGCCTCAAGCCCCTATGAAATGCTTTGTTACTGACTCACCTGACGCGGGGATAAAATCTCTTAAAAAAAAGCATCATGTACAGGGGTGTTTTAGCCAGAAACGACCGTCTAAGGCGGTGCGCAAAAAAAAAGCCGTGTGAGGAGATCCTGAGTTTGACCTGCCCATGTCAATTCTTGATTAAATTGTCCTCATTGCATGCTCTTGAGTCAACGAGGTCAGTTCCTGATAACACTGTTCCTGATTCACGAGTTCTCCTGCAATAAAGCCTCACGTCCTTGTGTACAGATGCAAAACAAGGAGCTTGAATCTCCATTTTCCTAGCAATAAGTTGGAACCCAGTTGCTAGTCGATTGTCGGATTGCTTTCCGGGAGTAATAATCCCTCCAAAAAAATAATAATAATTTGGTCACTCAACCCACGAGTGGGACACGGCCGTGTGCAATTGGCTGCCGCATTTTGTCCACAACATGCACACTCAATTCACATCCTCCCGACGTGAAAGGCGCAATACAAATGTAACTTGTTGTTGTTGTTTTCAGTATATTCTGTGAAGCGCTTTGAGATGTCTCGACAATGTGATAAGGCGCTATGCCAGATCCACAGATTATTATTATATCAGAGAGATGGGTGTGGGGGGGGGGGAGGTTTAGTTCAGCACATCTCCCTTTAATATCGTAACCATTTTTCCAACTTATTGTGTGGCTTGAGATCGGGCCCCAATGGAATTTCGCAAATGACAACAATTTGCCTCTTGGAGCAGCTGTTCTGAGGCTGAAGGACAATGGAATCTGTGTACTTCAGAAAGGGCAGGACTTTTGCTTTGTTCTGACAGGAACCAGTAGTGGCCAAAGTGTAGAGAGAACGCCAAACCAAACATTCCTCTTGTATAACGTCCATCCCTGGGTGGAGGCCTGTAACCTGAGCATCTGTTACATGGAGTGCGGTGAGATCGCCCCACACCCGCCTTCCTCCTCACCCCACCTCCGGCTGAGCTCTGTCTTGTTTAGAGTTTACTTCCAGCCTCTGGCTTCCAGCCTACGGGTGTTGGCTATGTTTGTCAGCCCAACGAGGTCACGTTTTTTGGGACCGTTCATTGGGACACTTAACCCTTGAGTGGCGAATGCCTTTCTTGACTCTCAAGATCAAAAACCCTGCTCTGCATGTCATTACAGTTCTCTTTAAGAGGTTCAAGAGCCACGATTTACGTTGGAAACCAATCTCAGGCCTGGGTACACAGCATGCTCGTGGCTTACAACATACCAGCTGGCGCAAAAGAGTTTGGATCAAGAACCCTTGATCTCGTCCTTCCAGAACACCTGCCCCACTCAGCACATCATCAAGCTGTTTTTTTAAAAATATATAAACGAGTCCAGGTTTGGGCCCTGCACCCACCTTCTTGGTAGCCCCCGTTGCAGCTGCTGAATGACTATTTGGTGATCAGGCATGTTGAGGGGTATGGTGAATGTGATTTAATAGTAGGCTGTGCAGCCCGTCCTCTTTTATCTTGCTAATTCTCATTATTTTCTGACAGTGAACCGCGGCCCCAGGTCATCCAATCAACAGTGCAGACGCTTTGAGATGCGCACGTACGATAACAGGTAAAGCCCCTCCTGCAATTCCTGTAAAAGCCACATGCAAAACTCTCAGCCTCTACACTGGCCAACAATCCTCCAGAGAGATACGGTCATTCACTTCGTGGCTGGCATTAACTTCAAAAGGGCTCGACCTCAACCTAGCACCTCGCAGTGACCTTCTCCTACCCCCTCTCTTCCCTTCGCCAGTTTCAGCAACCAAAAGGTTGGCCCAGCCTGGCTCAAGCCACGAGCTCTGTACTGGGTGGCAGCTCTTTCAAAGAGCCGGCGCAGGCAAGATGGGCCGAATGGCCTCCGTCTGTGCTGTAGTATTCCCCGATTCTAACCTTCCCGAGTCACAGGAGAGAGCGCCTCCGACTGAATCAAGTATGTTTCTTGCCCGCAGAGCGTTTGAGAATGAAAAGCCAAGCGACGGGGCTGATCAGGGGCAAGAAGAGAGACAGAAGCTGCCACCGGGTGCAGTCCCCAGACACCCGTCCCCCAACACCATCACAGTCACGGCCGAGTTTGCCCTGGACAGTCAGAGCCATGGAGTCTTCTCCATCAGTGGGGAGGGCAGGGAAACCTCGCAGAAGGAGCTGACTTCAACATCGCAACAGGTAATAATAATAGTAGTAATAATAATCCTTGCATTTGATATAGCGCCTTATCAGGTCATTTCGCCCTCAAAATACAGTAAATTCACTGTACAGTATGTCCCGTGAAGAGCTTCAAGACGTCTCCAAGACGTGATAAGACGCCATATCAAATGCAAGGATTATTATCGTTATTATTGATCAGCCATCTCAAAGAATGTGCTGTGAAGTGAATTGACTTTATATTTCAGACAGGATCAGGCTGGCTCAAGGCATTCCTCCCCATTTGGCTTGGAATTCTGCTTAGTCTCAGCCTGCCTGTTGCATTGCGTTGAATTCTTAAAATCTGCCCTTGAAAGAAGCCAACCCGACTGGACACGGGTCGGAAACAGCTCGCGTGTTCCCAGGGTCTGGGATGCTAGCCTGCGCGAGGGACGTTGTGTGTCGTTGTTGTCTCCTCAATGCTGTTTCTCTCTGAAATTAGGATTCGGAACCCGTGGAGTCCTCGAAAAGCCAGTCGCTTCCTTCGCCCGCGGAGGACAAAACAGGGAACACGGAGGCCCGGAGCCTCTGTTCTTTACTCGGAGGGAACGCTCCCGCCTCTGCCTTGCCGGAGATTAAACCTTCACTTAAAGAACAAGAAGCAGAGGCGTCGCTTCGGTTAAACTCTGCCCCCTGCCTCGGCGAGGAGCCTTTAAGAGGAGACGCCAGACCTTTGCTCGAGGAGAGCTTGTGGAAAGGAAATGAAAAGCGTGGAGCTTCCCGGTTTGATCCGAGGAGCGACGTGAGGGAATGTGACGCTTTCGCTCAGAGCCAGCTCAGTCCCGCAAGAGGGATCGTGTCTAGGAGCCTCTCAGAATGCGGGGGGAAAGGTTCTGAGGTGATGTCAGTTGCTGTAGATGTTCCGGCATCTTCTCCCATCCCAGCTGCCGTGTCTCTTCCAGCTCTGGTTCCTAATCCCACGTTAGTTCTGCTCCCATCTGCTTCCAATCAATAGACTGACTTCCCGTAACCAAAGATATAAACTGCGCACCCCGGCTCACAGACGATCAGCAGGATAACAACAAGCCTTGTGTTTCACGCAGCGCCTATCAAACCACGCCGGCATCTCAAAGCACTTCGCAGGGAGTGACTGTCGAGTGAAGTGACTGCGTGTTTTGGGGGGGGTGGGGAGGGGGACAGATTTTACCTGGGAGAAATGCCCTTCTATTTTCCAACAGTGCCAGCCGTTCATTATCCTCTGTGTAAATAACAATAATTTATATAGCGTATTTATATAGCGCCTTATCACATCGTTGAGACGTCTCAAAGCGCTTCATAAAACATTCTGCAAAGTGGATTGACTGTGTATTTTGTGGATGAAACACAGCAGCTCGCGATTGCGCTCAGCAAAGTCCTACAGAAGATGTGTCCATCTGAACAGATGGAACCTATAAAACAGTCAGTGTGTGCCAAGAACCTTTGTGTGTATAACAGTCTTTTACATGTATTCTTATTGAGTTTTTTAAAAATATATAAACCTTTTCCTGACCTATTACGTAAATAAACTTATTTCTTCACTTGTCTAACAACTAAGAGAGAATTTTTTTTTATTGGTTATCGGCCGATGAAGAAGGTTTAACAAAGCAGAACAATTTTAAGATTTCCCGCCAACCACATGCGTGAAAAAATGCATTAAGGCGTAAGCGTCAGAAGAGAAGGGGAGCCAAACAGCGAAGGTTGCGAGACATTGGAATTGGACACAGATTGCAGGTTCACGACAGAAACCGGGAAGTATTCCCTTAAGGGAGTTAGTGACCGGAATGGGAACTATTTGTTCACCTTTTAACTGAAGGAACAAACTCGCAGGAATGAGAAAACTGGGGTTTGTAACTAAAAGTTTGATACTGAAGCAATTTTTCTTAATATAAATAAAAAAATACTAAACCCCCATCCTTGTCTAATGCCGAGCCCAGGGTTCTACTGAAATTAAAGCGAGGCTCCACTATTAAAATCGTGGAATTTTCGAGTTAGTGAACTGGTTAAACGTGGCACCGCTCCTGGTTATATGACAATACAATTAGTATTAACGCATTAAAAAGTATCCAAAGTAGATGGATTACTTTTTTTTATATATATATAACATAACAGGCTTTGAATCTCAGAGACAACCCCAGTAAAGTCTCAAAACCAGTGCAAAGGCCATTTGAAATCTAACTTGACAACAACTTGCATTTATATAGCGCCCTTCACGTGAGGTAGTTCCCAGGAGTGCTTAAACTCAAGTGTCACTGTAGCCTCTTTGTAAAGTAAAGCCTAAACATCGATTCCACTCCTGGTGCAAGAACCAACTCAACAGGTCAGTGTGCTGTTATCCTGTGTGATTGCTAAGCCCAGGAAATGGTGTGCGTGTGTGGACGTGTCGGTTTAATTTGCTCTATTTCTGAACGTGATCCCCTTTTAAGAATTCCCCCCCCAAACCCCATGAAGCTCCGCTCCGGAAGCAGTTGGGAGTCTAAGGAACAGGAGGAGGCCATTCAGCCCATCGAACCTGTTCCATCATTCTTTTGGATCATGGCCGATCTGTACCTCAAGTCCAATTTGGTCGGAGTCGGAGCTTCCTGTGGATTGGCGTGACGTCCTCTCCAGTTACCGGAAGGCGATTCAGCCCCTCCCTCCAGTATCGCAACCCGAGACTCCTCGTTAAGAAAATTAATCCCATTGTAAGTTAACCCTTTTTAGTCGCTAAAAAAAAAAAAGAAATAGGTGGAGTGCAAAGCCCCCACACAGCACTTTCACCCAAACCCCCAATATCTTGCTCCCCTCCCTCCAAACCTTCCCAATTACACTACAGCTCGGACGAAGGCTCCCTTTCCTTCATCTCCAGTTCACCGTCTACAGTGTCGGGCACCTGGAAAGCCACGTAAGGACACCTCTTTAGGTTGAGACAAACCAGCTTCTCAATGGATGCCGTGTTGACGATGTCAAATCCCGTCTTCCCTCCGAACGTACTTGGCTTCCAATATTGGGGAGAACAGAGAGGATTTCCCATCAGCCCCTTGAGGGAGAAGGGAGCCCCCATTTCCACCATGCTTTCCCCGAATAATGCGTTTTCCTGCGGAATTTCCAACAGGAGCCCAGGGTAAAATTCCAAAGCGTCAATGTCACCATACAGTGCCTCCAGCTCCCCCGCCATTTCCGTTTCCCCTAAGACGAGATAAAGAAAGTTCACTCAACGCACACAACCGAGAACTGCTTCCCGTCAACTTCCCAAACCTCATTTTGTTCATTTCCTCCATTAACTTTCGGCTCAGCCTGGAGGCCATATTTTGCCGTTAGATTTAATTGTGTAAAAATTCTTAACTTCAATTGCGATTTAGAAGCAGTTTTGCCCTCTTCCTCCTCCCCGGGCTGTTTTTTTTTAAAAAAAAGGAAACCAACTTGCTTCCAAATTCATAATAAATAATAATAATCCTTACAATAAATGCAGCGTCTTTCACATCAGGAGTACATCTCGTTGGCACTTAAAAGAAACATTAAAAAAATTCACAATAATTTGGTCACGACTGTTTGTGGGACACTGCTGTTCGCAATTGGCTGCCACATTTTGCCTACAAAATATTCAGTCAATTGACTTCACAGTGTATCCTTTAAAGTGCGATGCAAGGATTATTATGATGTATTGTAAAGTGCCGTGAATGTGTGTTTCGATAATAATCCTTGCATTTGATATTACGCCTGATCACGACGTCGAGACACCTCAAAGCGCTTCGCAGGATATTCTTTGAAGTCACTGTGTTTTGTGGGCAAAACGCGACAGCCAATTGCGCACAACAATCTCCTGCAAACAGTCGTGTTTTGTCGGCGAATTTAGGATACTTCTGGGGCCCACCTTACATTTCGGGGCAAAACACACACAGGCTGAGACTAGGTGGAATTTCATGCCTTTGTCCGGGACTTACCTGTCAGTTGCTGGAAGGATGTGTAGGGCACCAGGTCAAACCTCTTTCTGTATTCATTGAAGGACTGAAACCGCAGTTGTCTTCCTTGCTCGATGACTCTGATTGCCACATGCAGGACCTTGTGGTGGATATTCTTGCCTCCACCAATCTGGAAAAATAGCCAATCAATAACTCGCAAAGATGGGGGGGAGGGGGGAAGCGGGGAGAAGGGGGATGGGAAGAAAAGGGTGAGGCATGAGGAGGGGGACGAGGGGCGGGAAGAGAGAGAGAAAAAGAAAATGCTTGGGATTTGCTTTAGGCGTCCCCCAAAAACCATTTGAAACATAACGAAGCAGAGACTCACCTGACCTGCCTTCTGTTTGCTAAACGACTCCACTAAGCCCTCCAGCCCGTACTCAAGCAGGACCGAGGTGTTGAATAGAAAGTCTTCGTAGCTGAACTCATTGCCTTGTACGAGGAAGGTGTCAGGCATGAGCGGGTGCCAGTGATACAGGTGATTGAACTCCACCGCAATCCGGTTTTGGTACTGGAAATTCCCATGAAACAGCAGCTCAGGGTTAAACGTCAACTTGAAGTAATAACCACTCAAATGCTGGACATAGTCTTCAATGACTATTTTGATGGTTTCCCCTGTTGAGACGAGGAATTGGAAATAAGGTGAAGGCATTAAACCGCAGCTCCCAAATCCCCCACGTTAAAGATCCTACGGCTCTATGGGAAAAGAAAATAATAATTTGATTTTATGCCTTATCACGTCTTCAAGATGTCTCAAAGCGCTTCACAGAATATACTGTAAAGTGTAGTGACTGTGGGTGAAACGTGGTGCCAATTGCTCACAGCACTGTCCCACAAACAGTGAGTGACCATATTATTATTATTTTTATTACTATTTTTCTAATGGATTATTACCCCCACCAGAAAGCGATCCACTAATCGACTACTAACTGGGTTTCTACTTACTGCTAGGTAAACAGAGGNAAAAAAAGAGGAAGGAGTTTCTCTTTCCTGGTGTCCTGGCTAACAATCCACCCCCTCCCTCCCACCCACCAATAAAGTTAGTCACTCACTCCGTGGTTGTTACTGTGTGTAACTGCTGCCACATTTCGCCTACAAAATACAGTCACTCCACTTTTCAGTGTACATAGTGAAGCACTTTGAGATATCTCAACAACGTGATAAGGCGTTTGTTGGAGGACATGGGTCATGCCCGAAAAACAAAACTTGCATAATAGCTTTAACCCCAAAAAAGAAAGGTACGAGGAAGGTGTCAGGCATGAGCGGGTTAACAAGGAAGTTCTACCCCTGTCCATCTTCTCCAAGCCTGATTGGAGACCAGGTCTTGTCTTGCTCCCTTTACATGTAAGTTGCACGGCAACAATAACAACTTGCATTGATATAGTGCCCTTCACATGAGGTAGGGTCCCGGAGCGCTCGACAGTGCCTGCGCCTGACCCTGAGCCAGGGGGAGAGGGAGGGGGTGATGACTGTAACCACGATTGAGAAGGAAGGTCTTTAGGCGGGATTTGAAGGTGGCGAGGGAGGGAGAGAGGGGGCCAGGCGGAGGGATTGAGGGAGAGAGTTCCAGAGACTCGGGGCGTAATGGCTGAAGGCACGGCCACTGATGGTGGAGCGGAGGGGATGGGGGACAAACAGGAGCCAAGCGGAGGCAGCGGGAACACCATAAAAGGCAGTGACGGGGTTTATCCCCGGTTACAGCAGTATATCAAATCCGTGGATTATTTACCTAGGAGCACGAGCCTGGCAGTCTGGAAGAGCTGCTCATCGCCCCAGGTGGGATGCTCCTGTTTCAGGATGTCGCAGACTCTGTTGTGCTCCCGTAGCCAGATGGTAGCGTACATCATCAGACCCGGGATCAGGCCGAACAGGTCCTGGCCAATAGCAAACTGGCTGCTGGATGGCACCGTCCTCGGGTACTTCATTTTGATGGGCACGGCTTCCACGGAGGGTAGGTAGACATCTCCCTTCACCACCTGACAATGTAATAATAATAATGATTATTATAATCATGGCAAAGACAACACGCTTGTTACGATCTGGAACTCTCTCCCTGCCCCAAAAGGCTGTGGATGTTGGATCCATTCAAATTTTCAATCCACTCGGGTGGATAGATTTTTGTTAGCCAGCGGTGTCGAGGGATATGGGGCAAAGCCGGGTATTTGGAGTTGAGGGACAGATCAGCCACAACCTGAAAGAATGGCGGAACAGGCTCAAGGGGCTGCATTACTCCTGTTCTTATTCTCACCGCCACGTGTTCACGACTTTTAATTGTACGACAAAACATTTAAGATGCGCAACAGTGCTTCGGGCATCTCGACTGCAAGAGTTTACAGATCCTAACCCCAACTCCAACTGTAATAGATACAGCTTCTATAATGGCAAAATGTTTCAATGCGTTTTACAGTCATTGCCATTGAGCGAAATGCCTATGTTGTTTCGTAGACAAACTCAGCTGCCAATTTGCGCACAGTTGGATCACACACACACACACACACACACACATGACTCACTTTTAATGTGAGGGGCTTGTTAGCCAGGACACCAGGAGAAACTGCCTTCTCTTGTATTCATGGAATCATAGAATTATACAGCACAGAAGGAGGACATTCGGCCCTTCGTGTCTGTGCCCGCTCTTTGAAAAGAGTTACCGAAATCAATCCCACTCCCCCGCTCTCTCCCCAGGGCCCAGCAAACTTATCCTCCCCAAATAATTATCTACTTCTCGCTTAAATAGTATATTAGTGCAAGATTCCTGACAGTCCAGCGGCTTGGGACGTCCTCCTGACCTGAAAGGCGCCACACACAAATGTAATTTGTTGTTGTTTATTTGTTGTTGTTGTTGTGTTGCTGTGGGGATCTCTAACGTTCGTTGAAACAGGCAGACGGGTCCTTGGTTTAAGGTCTCACCTGATGGGGGCTTGCGAGCTGGAAGGGGTGAGCGCTATGTACCTGATATCGGAGCTTGCCATCTTTGAACAGCCTCAGTTGGTGCTGCCTCTCCAGGGTGTCTCCGTAGATGTGGCTCAGATCCACCTGCAGGAATAAAAGTCTTTGAACTTGAGACACGAGGCCCGAAATTCCACCTAGTCTTAGCCTGCGAGTTGCGTTTGGGGCTTAAAAGTTAAGGAGGGGCCAGAGATTTTTAAAAAAATTCTGTCACTCTGCCCCCACCCTCTGGAACTCCATCCCGCAGTCCCTCCGCCTCGTCCCCTCCCTCGCCTCCTTCAAGACCCTCTTCATGGACCGCGCTTTCGATCTCCCTGTTTCCCCCCACTGTCATCCACCCTCCCCCACCCAGACCCCAAGGTTGGGTCTGTAACTCTGTCTGTCCAGCACAAGTGCCTGTCGTGACAGGCGCTTTCCAAATGTAATTCTGTTGTTGTTGTATGGCAGTGTCTCAGAGCACATAACAATGACGGAGCCATACAAACTTATATAAATGCAAGTTGTTGTTGTTGTTGACACTCACCCCGTGGCCAAGAGCCTTGGTGAACCCAGGGCCTCGGTTAAAATCCGTCCTGAAGAACTGGTGGGTGAAGTGCTGGGCGAAGAACGCAAACATCAGGTTGGACCCTCGAACATTTGGAATAAACTTCTTCCGCAACAGAAACTTCTCGGCTAGAAGTTTCGCGTCAGGAAACTCCTTGTTTCCTTCAAAGACACAACCAAAGGAAGTTATTGAGCAAACCCAGGCATTGCTTTAGTGACGACCCATTGCCCTTCTACTTCACCAATCCGTCTGCTTCCTCTGTTCGGCAGACACTGGGCTGCTCCACGTCCCCTGCCCCGCTCGCTCCACTATCAGTGCTCGGGCCTTCAGCCTTTCTGCCCTCACCCTCTGGAACTCCATCTTGGAGCCCCTACGGCTCGCCCCTTCCCTTGGCTCGTTCAAGGACCGTCTCAAGACCTTTTTCGACCGTGCCTTTGGTCATCTTCCCTCTTCCGCCCCCACTCACCCCCCCCCCTCCCCCCGCCCCAGCCTCTTGCCCTCCCACCCCTCTCCGATCCTAACCCCCAGTTTGGGTGCAAAACCCCTCATTGTCCAGCACCTTGGGACGTCCTCCCAACATGAAAGGCGCTGTATAGCTGTAAGTTACTGTTGTTTGTTGTTGTTATCCTTCACCTTTTACAAGTTATGTGACAGGCATTGGGCACAGAACCTCCCAATGACCAAGTACAGGTTACTGTTTCGGATTAATATAGGAATAATAAGCTTCGCTCATACAATACAACTTTACATTTACACAGCGTCTTTCATGTGGTGAGGACGTCCCAAGGCGCTTAACAAGAGTGGCTTGCACCTGAGCTGGGGACGAGAGCTGAGATGGGGAGGTGTGGACCCGGGGGAAGGGGTGGGGTGGGGAAAGATGACTGAAAGTGCAGACAAAGAGACAGGTCTCGAGACGCCCCTTGAATGTTGAATATATCTGGTTCAGCGATTGTCGTTGCTGTTTGCAACAGAATATTCAATGAAACATCACATTATGCATTTCAAACTGCCAGGAACCTTGTTTACCTGTTCATGTTGCGTGTGTGTTTGTGTGTGCACGCACGTGTGTTTGCGCGCGCGTGTGTGTGTGTGTGTGTGTGTGTGTGTGTGTGCACAAGGACAAGGAACGGAGTCTTACTGCGTTCAGACTACAAAAACGTTCTGCACCCTCTGTGAATGATCCCACATCTATCACCGAAAGTTGCGCAGGAAAATATTCAGTCACTGCTTCCGCTCCAGAGTCTCTTTGTCCACAATACAGGAAATCCTGGCTGGGTTTACTAGAATATTGTTCGGTAATTATATTTTTATCACCTGCCGGAAGCTCACAGCGGGAGAAGGAAAACAGATAGTACCGCAGAGTGAAGTACAAACTATTGAAAAAATTATGGCAACAATAAGTGCCTACACTTGGCAGTTTTATGTTAAGAGTATTTTGTTCAATGGCATCATTTTTCCTCCCTGTGAAAATCCCTATGTAAAACTATGAGTGGCTTAGAATTACAGACGCTCAGCCTGCTTCACATCCCAGGCCCGGCCTGTCCCACCATTGAAGATTGGGCCTTCAGTCTCTCTGCTCTCATCCCCTGGAACTCCATCCCGCTGGTTCCTCTGCCTCACCCTCTCCTGATCCCAACCACCAGCTCGGGTGCGGATCCCTGACTGTCCAGCGACTTGGGACGTCCTCCTGACGTGACAGGCGCTGTGTCAATGTCATGTGTTGTTGTTGTATAAAAGGCGAGGGATACATGCAACAGGATGGATTATGCATGTTTTACCCGTGGTGCAAAATAGAGCCTTGGAAAGCACACTGCACTGTCCACAGTGACTGACCACAGTGTTACGCTTGTGTTCTTACCTCGTGTCCCAAGCGGAGTTGGACATCCCTTCGGCACTGGTGGGAGTAACCGAGTGTAGTAGCTAAGATTGAAATACGCTTCCCAACTGAGGTACCCGGCGTCTGAGTTGTAGGTGGGAGGGCTGGGGATCAGGTTCCCCCGCACTGTAAATGGAAAAGACATTGATGGTGGATTGTCCCGCAAAAATTAACAAAGAATAACTTGGTCACTCAATCCACGACTATCTGCGTGCAATTGGCTGCCGCTTTTCGCCCACAAAATACACAGTCAACTCATTTTACAGTGTATTCCGTGAAGCCCTTTGAGACGTCTCAAAATCATGATGAGGCGCTATATCAAATGCAAGGATTGTTATTATTATTTTGCAATGTGATACAAAATAAAAAGGGAGTTTCTCCCAGTGTCCTGGCTGATTAATGGCACTTTGCGGGAACTTCGGCCAGGGTTGGGGTTAAAAAATACTCAAGCTTCCATTCCCAGCAGGACATCCTCAGCAGTTGGTGGGAGAAATGATTGACCACCTTTTGCATAACCTCCATTGAATTGGGAGAGGTTGTGATGGAAGGCAGTGGTTTACGTGCTGCTTTGTTTCAGAGGAAATCTCCTCCTTTAAGTAATTGGTTGGCTCCACATGTTTGTTATGAATTAAACATTCAACCTCGAGAGTTACAAAACTCCCGTTTCAGGCGATTGGAAAGGAAGGAAGTCCTTTCCTTTAAGAAAGATGCAATAATATTTCATCATCTTGTAATATGTCAATCTGTGTGGAGTCCTGTAGCTTAGTGGTTAGAGCATTCACTTTGAAAGTGAGAGACCCTGGGTTCGATTCCTGCCGGGTGAAACCTTGGGCAAGTTTCCTTACTCCACACGCCTGATAATAATCTCTCAAGAAAAAAATCAATAATAAATTGGTCACTTCAATCCACGACTGTTTGTGGAACGCTGCTGTGCGCAATTGGCTGCCGCATTTCGCCCACAAATATACACTCAATTCACTTTACAGTCTAATCTGTGAAGCGCTTTGAGACGTCTAGAAGACGTGAAAAGCGCTGTATCAAATGCAAGGATTATTATTATTATTTGGGCTTGTAATCTAGTCTGACCATCTGGGTTAAAGCTAACTCACGGACTCTCAGGTTTACATCAAAACCAATAATAATTATAATCCTTGCGTTTGACACATTGCTTTACGTCTCAAAGCGCTTCATTGTAAAGTGGGTAGACTGTGTATTTTGTGGGTGAAACGTGGCAGCCAATTTGCGCACGGCAGTGTTCCATAATCAGTCATGGATTGAGTGACCCAATTTTTTTTCGGAGGGATTACTCCCCCCAGAGATTCGCGATTTGACTATAGTTAGGGAGGCCGAGACAGCGAGAGAGAGTTAACAGATCTTACATTTGATACACAGCATCTTATCACATCTCCGTGACGTCTTTTACTGTAACGTGCCCTGGCTGAGTGTTTTGTGGGCAATGTAGCAGGCAATGTTTGCGCAGTCATTGTTGCAAATGATTGATTTTATCTGGGGGATTCTCAGCTAATAAACCAGAGGGGAAATTCCCTTTTCGTTGCTCATGGAGTCCTGTAGCTCAGTGGTTAGAGCACTCGCTTTGCAAGTGAGAGACCCGAGCTCAATTCCAGGCAGAGGGCGAAACCTTGGGCAAGTTTCCTTACTCCACACAGAGCCTAATAATAATCCCTCCAAAACCAAAAACAATAATAAATTGGTCATTTTCAATCTACGACGGTTCGTGGGACATTGCTGTGCGCAATTGGCTGCCGCGTTCGCCCACAAATATACAGTCAATTCACTTTACAGTGTGTTCTGTGAAGCGCTTTGGGACGTCCTCCCGACGTGAAAAGTGCTGTATCAAATGAAAGGATTATTCTTATTATTATTCGTTACCCTGTGGGATTTTTAACAGCCATCTAAACAGGGCACAGACGGGACCCGGGTTTAACATTTGCCGTACTCATTTGAAGTACGGCAGCGCTCCGAAACTGCAGCGCTCTCCCCTGCCACATCCCACTCTCCCCCAGCACCGCACTGGAGCATCAGCCCAGAGCGTGAGCTCAAAGTCACTGATTAAGGGGCAATGAAGCCACAACCGGTTGACTGATTCTGAGGCGAGAGTGCAATCGACTGAGCAAGGCTGACACCCAGCACTGTGCCAATGAGACCAATTGAGCCAGACTATTTCGAATCAAATACAAGGATTATTAACTCCAGTTCCACAATGTGGTCAGTTCTGAACAGCCCAGGCTCTCTCATGTGGTTGGGCAAAGAGCAGCTAAAGGCACTGCAACCAGGATAATTGGACTTGCTGAATGTGAGGTGTCTGTGATGGCCAGTAATGATTACTCCAGTAACTGCAAGTCCAAGAGATTTCAGAGTAATGTGCATCACGCTAGAATACTTTTCCGGTTATTTTGTTTCGCCTTTTGAGACCATTCCCCAAACACTGGCAGGAAAGTCATTTTTTTGTGTGCTGATCATGAAATCCAGACACCTACTGCTTGGTGGAAAGATTGTTTGTTAAAACAAGTGGAGGTTGAGGTGGGGGGGAAAGAAAGGGATGTGTGCTGCACAGGTTCTATGTCGTCCGTTTCCCAGATAACACTACTGTTTTCTTTGCACTTGCTCCACCCTGCTTATCTGTTTTGCAGCACCAGAAAATAAAAGGATGTAATGGAGGGAAAGGCCCACTTCACATGGAGCTTTGGCTCAGATTGTGGCAGCATTAACATTAACCTTTCACGACTTGTTGAGGCAGGATTGCTTGTTCGCGTGTGTGAGCGCGATGGTTAGAGCAGAAGCAAGAGGACCCGGGTTCGATTCCCGGGCAGGGCGGAATGTTAGGCAAGTTTCCTTACTCCACACATCTAGCAGTAAGTTAGTCGATTGGCGAATTGTTTTTAGGGGATAATAATCCCTCAAAAAAATAAAAATTTGGTCACTCAATCAATGACTGTTTGTGGTACACTGCTAAGCGCAATTGGCTGCAGCATTTCGCCCCTTATATATATATATACACATACATACACACACATATATAGAGCCTTCCACGTCGGGAGGACATCCCAAGGCGCTGGACAGTCAGAGTTTCGGACCCAAGCTGGGGTTGGGATTGGGGAGAGTTGAGGGCAGTGAGGGGTGAGGGGGGGAATTAGGGTGATTGAAAGTGGAGTCGGGCAAGGATGGGGGTGATAGGGTCAGGAGCCTGGTGCGGGATAGGACACGGGAGAGGACAGAATAAACTTTAAAGTATATTCTGTGAAGCACTCTGAGGTGCCTCAACAACGTGATAAGGCTCTATATCAAATGCAAGGATTAGTATTATTATTAAACCAATTCAGCAAGTAAACACAGATTAATAGTGTGCACACACACGCACATTGTACGCCATCAATCAAACCAGTGCGAGAGCCAAACTCAAGTGTGAAGCGAGTGTTTTCCTGGCAGTGTGTTGTTACAGTTTTCAGCTTTTAACAGCCTGAGCAGAATGCCCATTAACCGAATGCCACAGAACCCAGCCCAACTTTCCGCCCATTCATTGTAAGGGGACGGCGGTTAATCAGGAGATAAATAGCAGCATTGCACCAACCTCGGCGAGGGGCAAGCTGGGGGCTGCTTATATGAGAGCGTGAACTGACTGACTGAGCTCATTGCTGGCTCAGACCTCTCGGCCCCTTCCAAAATACAAAGTTGAAAACAACAGCTTTGCGGGTTCAAACTCGTTTGGATATTTTAGTGGTAATCTGAGGCTAACCCAGGCACATATACAGGAGAGCGTCACTAAAGCAGACACTACACCAGTGTACCGTATACTGACATCCTCAAACACCGTACATGTACGAGTACTGACCCTACTGTCCCACATGGCCAGGCGGAGAAGGGTTAACATTTATAGTCGGTGATTGTCAATGACTCTGGGAATCCAGAAATATGGATTTTATTTCAAATTCAGAAATTCATCTGGTTTTGGTAACAAGTACCTTGCTTTTTAATTCGCCCACACATACACTCCACTCTTTATAACATATATATAATGAAGTGCTTTGAGACATCTCAGAGATGTTATACAGCGGTGTATCAAATGGAAGGATTATTATTGTTATTATTATACTGTTCGCCCTTCACTTAGGGTTTCACGTCTTGGAGCGCTTGCCAGCCCCCGAATTCAGAGCGCTTTTCTGTCGGCCTGAGCTCCCTGACAAGAGGAAACCCCAGCTGTTGGGAATAACCCAGGGACGAGAGGATTTGCCTCCTTGAAGACCGTCTCAAGACCCTCCTCTTCGACCGCGCCTTTGGTTACCTTCTTATCTCTACTCTCCCCGGCCGCCACTCCTCTGATTCCAACCACCAGCTCGGGTGCAGATCCCTGACTGTCCAGTGCCTTTGAACGTCCTCCTGACATGAAAGGTGCTGTACACATGTAATGTGTTGTTGTTGTCTATAACTGGGTGACACTCAATACAAGAACTCCCCCGTTTCCGCTGGAACTCATTCCTGCAACTGATACGGGAGGCGGAACAGTTTTCGGGCTGCACGCAATCATAATACCACTAATACTATTAGTAACAATTATCCTTGCATTTGATACAGCAGTTTAGCACACGTTCCGCCCACAATATACAGTCACTCTACTTTACAGTTATAATTCTTCGAAGCACTTTGAGACGTCTCAACGACGTTACGAGGCGCTATATCACATGCAAGGATTATTATTATTATCACATCGTCACGACGTCTCAAAGAGCATTGCTTGCATTTCAAAGCTACTTTCACAAAGGGGGTTGGGGGGAAGATGTCTCTGTACTGAGAGACAGTCGCTGAGCTCAGCCCCAAACCCATGGAAATTTATATCCTCTCACTGGGAGGGGGTTGGGGGGGAAATGGGTTTCAGCGGTCTGAACCGAAAGAAGAAAAAGAGCTTTATATCAATGTGTCACAGCCTTTGCCTTATCATATCTTCTCTTATCATATGATAATAGATATATATTCTCCTTCCTGGCCCCTCCTTCAAGGTCCACCTCAAGACTCTTTAATCGTGCTTTCAACCATCCTCTCACTCTTGATTCCAACCCCCAGCTCAAATGCAAACTTTTAATTGTCCAGGGCCTTGGGACGTCCTTCCAACACGAAAAGCGCTATATGAATGCAATGTTGTTGTTGTTCGGATGTCCCGAAGCGCTTCACGAGATTTTCCTGGAAGGTGTAGTGACTGTGCATTTCGTAGGTAGGGCGCAGCGGCCAGTGTGCTCACAGCACCACCCCGCAAACAGCCGTGAAGTGAAGGACCAATTTTTTTTTCATCCTGGAGGACTGTTAACCCGACGGGGACAATATCCAGAGAAAGGGAATCATTTAAAATTGTGTGCATGTGTGTGGTGGGAGCGGGGAGCGGGGTGTAAAGAGGAGAATGGGACTACGAGGGTAGATATCTCTTTCAGAGCCAGTATTGGCACGTTTTTGCCTATTTCTGTGAAATTTGAAGCGATTAGAAATTGGGTCATGAACTTCTGTTTATTGCTTGAGTGAATAATGCTGAGTGTGTGAACTGATGGCGATCAAGATTGTAGAATGTGGCTCACATAGAAGACTTTGATAAGCAATGAGCAGTGCTGGCACCCGCGCTCTCGCTCTCTCTCGCTCGCATTGATTGGTGCGAAACACTAACAGATTTCCAATTCAAAATCTGCACTCTTTTTCTCTTCGCGGTGAAGCAACAAAACATTTTGCAACTAACTGCCTTGCGCACACTGTTGCAACTTTTCCTGCCTCAGATCCTTACGGCGATGAGGAATATCGTTTTAAAAAAAAAATGAAGCATCCAACGCAAACAGAAAAAAAAAAAAACCTCCCGCTTTGCTCGCCAAGTTGCTCCAACGCAGTGCACCTTCGGTTACTTGCCCTCTCTTTTCCAACTTGCCTTCGAACCACACCTAGTTGTTCGATACCCAACTGGCATGAAACGGTGTGACATAAAATAAAAGCTGTGGTAGGAAATACAGAGCCAAAATTGAGACTCTGCAGAATTCTCCTCGAAACGTTTCATAGTCAGTCTCGAATAGACGGAGGCTTCTTCCAGCCACACACGTGATCTCGAACATTTTCAGAAAAAGGATGGTTTTAATCAAGTCTTAGGCCGAGAGGAATTTTAGTCACTGACCGGGTTAACCTTTTTTTGGTAACTGAAACATTACTGATGTTTCACTATGAACGCATTAGTCACAATGTTCACAAGATTTTTCAAAGCTTCTGTTACATGAACTCAAGACGTCAAACATTTATTGAAACCAGAGCTTCTCGCAATTAGTTCATACCTAACTTACTAGTCAATTCCATTTCTTTTCTTTACACACAAAGGGTTATTAGGACATAGAACGCCCAACTGAGCCCAGTAAATATTAAGTACTAATAAGCATCATAATTTTCCTGTATTTAGCACAGTACTCTGATGTCTCATAGAGTTTCACTGGTAATAATAATAATAATCCTTCCATTTGATATAAGGTCTTAACATGTCGCTGAGATGTCTCAAAGCTCTTCACAGGATATAGTGTAAAGTGAATTGACTGTATATTTTATGGGCGAAACACAGCAGCTAACTGCACACAACAGGGTCCCACGAATTGTGTTACAGTTACTACACTTGATTAAAAAAAAGCAACACAGAAAATTTGCCCGTAGCAACGTCCCACCAAACAGCCAGCACATCAGTTCAAGCAAATCACTCGCTCGTTTAAAAATAAAGCCTCTATGGTTTAAACCTGACCCAGTCAAATCAGCCCCGAGAGGTGTGGTTTTATACAAGCACAGACACGAACCCAGGCATTACAAGAAAAAGTACCTGTTAACACCAGCTGCATGATCTTGTCCCTGATGAACGGGATGTTATTGATAATATTCCAGAACCATTGGAACCGAGTCAGGATGTAATGGGTAAAGTTGGGATTCGGCTTCAGGAAGATCTGGATCCTCATCCAGAAATCAGCTGCAAGTTATATACAGATATATTTATATATATATATTATATAAAAATACGCTCCATTTAGAAAGTACTCAAAAGCACATGACAAGTACTTAAAAGCTATTTCCGCGCACTCTTCAAGTAATCAAACTCATTTCTATCTGCAGTGGACTGAAAATAAGGAAGTTCCAAAAAATCCCACCCGCCTGGCGAAACAGCGGTCTTGAGGTGACAACTTTGTGTCCGCATTTGTGCATGTTAACAAAAATAACCTCTGCATTTGATACAGCGCCTTATCACGTCATTGAGACGTCTCAAAACGCTTCACAGGATTTACTGTAAAGTGGATTGTCTGTATATGTTGTGGGCAAAACGCAGCAGCCAATTGCACTCAGCAGTGTCCCACAAACAGTTGAGTGACCACGTTTTTTTTTGAAGAGATTATTACCCCAGGAATGTGTTCCGCCAATCGATTAACAAGCGAGTCCCTACTTCCTGCTGGGTAAACAGAGGCGTGTGGAATAAGGAACCTTGCCTAATTTTTCCACCCGGCCCAGGAATCGAACCTAGGTCCTCTCGCTTTGCGAGGCGAATGCTCTAACCGTTCCACCACAGGGACTTCAAGCTGCAAAGCAACCGGTACAGCCAAGGAGACAAAGGGACTTACGCGACGTGCAGTTAACTCCATAGTAACCGGTCCGCGTGCAATCGCACTCATAGCTGACTTCACTGACAGTGACGCACACGGCCTTGTTCTGACACGGGAAGTAACAGCAGGGATTCACTGGGGATGAAAGATGGAAAAGATCAGAGTTAAGTTAGAAACATTTTGCCGGAATGTTTTAAAAAACATTTAAGTTCAATAATAATAATCCTTGCATTTGATTATAGCGCCTTATCACGTCTTCGAGACGTATGGAAGAGCATCACAGGATATACGGTAACTCGAAATGACTGTGTTTTATGGGCGAGAGGAAAAAAAGTTTTGGATTGCATCTTGACCGGTTGCCCTCAAAAGAGAAAACGATGCTGGTTTTGAAATATGAAATAAAATATTTGATCTCTCGGAAGAGCAATAACAAAAAAGGTTGGGAAAACTCCCGGAGAGGTTCTACCTGCGTCCAGATTTATGGAACCTTTCAGAGTGCGGACCGGCCTTCAGCCTCTCTGGCCCCCACCCTTTGAAACTCCTTCCCACAGTCCCTCCGCCTTGCCCCCTCCCTCCCTCCCTCGCCTCCTTCAAGGCACGTCTCAAGACCCTCCTCTTCGACCGCACCTTCGGTCACCCTTCTACCCCTACTCTCTCTGCCCTCCACCCCTTCCGATCCCGACCCACAGCTTGGGTCCAAATCCCTGACTGTCCAGCGCCTTGGGACGTGAAAGGCGCTGGATACACATCATTTGTGGTCGTCCAGAATTTGGGCAGTTGCTGAATTGGGTCTTAGCTTTCAGCTCAGTTTCATGTACGTTCTGTACCAAACTGCGGAGACCCTGTGAGGCTTTGCATAAACAGCGCAATCCTAGATACGGGTGGAACTTCTACACTCCGACCCCCATCGTACTCAACAGCTCACATTGGCAATGCACAGTGTATTCTCGGTTGCGTTATCTCTCGCCTTGCGGGCAGGTGGTGGTGGGTTCAAGCCCCCCCCCACCTACCACCCACCACCTCAGGCGGAATTTTTTTTAAAAGCTCACAGACAACAAAAGGTCAACTTCCTTGACTGACAATACAGCGAACAAACAAAGTCGTGTGTGTTTTTCTGTTCACTTTAAATAGTGGTAAGAAAATGACATGTAAATCAATTGTCAAATGACATTACACAAAGTCGTATTGTATTCCTGCTGCTAACAAAATCCAGTTCATACAAGACTCTACTGCCCACATTCTCACCCACAGTAAACTCTGTGCCACCCATTGCACCCGTCCTTGCCAGGCTCCGCTGGCTTGACTTAAAGATCCTCACACTTGGCTTCAAAGCCCTGGCACCTCCAGACCTCTCTGACCTGCTCACATGCCACTCCACCATCCGCCGCCTCCACTCAACTGGCTCCGGCCTCCTGCTTGTCCCTCGTGCCCTCCGTTCCACCATCGCTGGCCGCACTTTCAGCCACTACGCCCCGAAACTCTGCAACTCTCTTCTCTATCCCTCCATCTTTCTTCCCTTTCTTTCCCCATCTTCAGGTCGCGCCTGAAGACCTTCTTCTTTGACGGTGATTCCGGTCACCTCCCCCTCCCTCCCGGCTCAGGGTCGGTCTCTGCCACGGTTAAGCGCGCTGAGAAGCTACCGTGAGTGGGGGGCGCTATATAAAAGTTGTTGCGTTGCCAGCTCCTTCCTCCTTCCGCCCCTACCATTGTTGGCCCAGACTACACTCACTGCACTCCTGCTTTCTGGCAATACTTTTCCCAAATCTCTCTGTCTGACAGAGACGGGCTGTGAAGGAGGCAAGGTAACAACAACAAGAATCCATTTATTGAGCGCCTTTCACGTCGGGAGGACGTCCCAAGGCGCTGTACAGTTGGGTCAGGACCCGAGCAGGGGGGAAATGGTCAGGGTGAGGGGAGGGAAGGGAGGGAGCGAGGAGGGGGTAGAGAGTCGAGAGGGGAGCTGAAGGCACGGTCAAAGAGAAAGGTCTTGAGACCGGCCTTGAAGGAGGAAAGGGAGGAAGCGGCGAAGGCACTGGGGGATAGAGTTCCAGAGCCTCGGGGCTGAGAGGCTGAAGGCCCGGCCACCGATGGTAGGGCGGTTGGGGCGGGGGATGTGGAGCAGACCGGAGCCAGAGGAACGGAGGGTACGGGCAGGTAGGTAGGGGATAGTAGGTCGAGAGGTAGGAGGGAGCGAGGCCGTGAATGGCCTTGTAGGTGAGGATGAGGATCTTGAATTCGATCCTCTGGGGGATGGGGAGCCAGTGGAGGCGAGCGAGGGTGGGAGTGATGTGGTCCCGAGCCTGGTGCGGGACAGTACACGAGCTGCAGAGTTCTGAATGACCTGCAGTGTGGAGGGAGGGCCGGGAAGGCCGGCGAGGAGAGAGTTCCCATAGTCCAGCCTTGAGGTGATAAAGGCGTGGACCAGAGTTTCAGCAGCGTGAGGGGTGAGGTAGTGCCGTAGTCTGGCGATATTCCGGAGGTGATGGAAGGCGGTGCCAGTTGTGGCGCGATATGAGGGAGAAAGGACAGCTCAGGGTCGAACAGAACCCGAGGTTCCTGATGGCTTTGAGAGGTGGAGAGTGCAGCCTTGGATGCTGATGCTGTCAGCGCCTGAGGTGCGGAGGCGCTGACGTGAGCCAATCAGGAGGGCCTCAGTTTTACGCACGTTGAGCTGAAGAAAGTTGTCTCTCGTCCAGGACTCGATGTCGGACAGGCAGCTGTCAGGACATCGGGGGTCGTGGAGTTGAGGGTAGAGGAGGAAAGGTAGAGTTGGGTGTCATCCGCATACATGTGGAAGTTAACCCCATGTCTGCGGATGATGTCACCAAGGGGGAGCATATAGAGGGTGAAGAGGAGGGGACCGAGGACAGAGCCCTGAGGGACACCGCACGAGACAGTGTGGGGGCTGGAGGAAAAGCCATTCGTGGAGACAAAGTGACGACGGTGGGAGAGGTACGACCTAAACCACTCAAGGACAGGGCCTTGAAGGTTGAGGTGGGAGGACAAGCGGTGGAGGAGGATAGTGTGGTCGACCGTATCGAATGCTGCCGATAGGTCGAGGAGGACGAGGAGGCAGAGGGAGCCCTGGTCACAGATGGTCAGGATGTCATTGGTGACCTTGACCAGGGCGGTTTCTGTGCTATGGGCAGCACGGAAACCCGACTGAAGGGGTTCGATTAATGAATGGGTGGAGAGGAAAGAGCGCAGCTGGGAGGCTACGACTCTTTCAAGGACCTTGGACAGGAAGGGGAGGTTGGAGATGGGCCGGAGATTCATAGCAGCGATGCATCAAGGGAGCGTTTTTTCAAGGTGGGAGTGATGGTGGCAGTTTTTAAGGGAATGGGAACAGAGCCAGAGGAGAGGGACAGGTTGATGATGTCTGTGATATGTGGGGCAAGGAGGTGGAGCTGGGAGATAAGGAGTGGAATGGGGATGGGGTCAAGGGAGCAGGTGGTGGGTTTCAGGGATAGGATGAGTTTGGTGACAGAGGGTGGGGAAACGGGTTCGAAGGTGCGCAGGGGAGGATGGGTAGGATTCGGAGTGTGGGAGGGAGGGTGTGGGGGGTGGCTGGAGGTTGGAGGGGAAGTGACCGCGGAGTGGATTCCCATGATTTTGGATTCAAGGAGATCCAGCATCTCCTCGATGTGAAGGGTGGAGCAGATGACCTGCGCAGGGTGGCGGGGGGGACGGAGGAGTCGGGATGTGAGGCAGAGGGGCTCCAGGATGGAGTTCCAGAGGGTGGGGGCAGAAAGCCCGACCGCCGATGGTGGAGCGGGCAGGGCGGGGGACAAGGCCAGCACCTGCTGAGCAGAGGAAGCGGACAGATTGGTAATGTTTTAATGGGTGATATAGAGGTAGGGAGGAGCAAGACCGTGGAGGGCTTGAAAAGTGAGGATAAGGATCTCAAATCGATCCCCCGGTGGGAATGGGGAACCCAGTGAAGCCGGGGGAGGATTGGGTGGGGGGGGGGGGCAATCGTGTCGTGGAGCTTTATGCGGGAGAGGGCACGAGCTCTGAAACACAGTACCGCAGCTTTAGAAACTGACTCTCACCTTATAAAATGACTAGCTAGTACTTATTTTTCCCCAAATCTGCACCGCCCCCCCACCCCCACCCCCACCAGGGCATATCTAACAAAAAGAAGCCAACCTTCTTCGAAAGGCAAAGATAATATTACATCCTTTCAAGTCTGGTTCGTTCAACAAACTTTTACAGGGAATTTTCTGAAAAGATATACAGCAAACACCAGACTCCTGATAACTAGGAGTCCTGTAGCTCAGTGGTTAGAGCACTCGCTTTGCAAGTGAGAGACCTGAGTTCAATTCCAGGCAGAGGGCCAAACCTCGGGCAAGTTTCCTCACTCCACACAGAGCCTAATAATAATCCCTCCAAAACCAACAACAATAATAAATTGGTCACTTTCAATCCCCGACTGTCTGTGGGGCATCGCTGTGCGCAATTGGTTGCCGCGTTCGCCCACAAATATACAGTCGATATACAGTGTGTTCTGTGAAGCGCTTTGGGACGTCCTCCCGACGTGAAAAGCGCTATATCAAATGCAAGGATTATTATTATTCTGTGAAGCGCTTTGGGACGTCTAAAAGACTTGAAAACCGCTATATCAAATGCAAGATTATTATATGATTATTATTAACTTGTCCCCGGGCTCCTCTCCCTCGGAGCGATGAGTTATCAGTTTAGTGTAGCTCTGCCTGAAATAACTCTCGTCTTGGCTTCAAGCCCCCACCACACACTCACACTCTAACCTCTGAAGACAAACATGCATAGTTGTGTATGAGAGGCGCATATTAGCTGAACATCTAGTCTTGCTCTCCCCCCCCTACCTCTGCGACCTCCTAACTCCCTACCATCCTGCTCGCTCCCTCCGCTCAGCAGGCTCCGGCCGGCTTCACGTCCCCCGCCTCGCCAGCCCCACTATTGGCGGGCGGGCCTTCCGCCACTCTGCCCACAACCTCTGGAGCTCCATCCCGCAGTCCCTCCGCCTCGCCCCCTCCAAGCCTCCATCTCAAGACCCTCCTCTTGGACCGTGCTTTCGATCTCCCTGCTTCCCCCCACCACCACTACCACCACCCGATCCCGACCCCCAGCTTGGGTCCGAAACTCTGTCTGTCCAGAGCCTCGGGACGTCCTCCCGACGTGAAAGGCACTTCGCGATCGTAATTTTGTCGTTGCTGAATGAATGTAATCTTAAAATCAAGCCCTCGGCTTGAAAATTGTCTACACATGTTTCGAGAGAGAGCAAGAGAGAGAGGAAAAGGGAGACTTGGAAATGTTGTCGCCATTGTAAGAGCTAAAGCTACTGCATCCTTCAAAAGCAAACCCAGAAATGGTTCCATCATTAATTAAAACAATTAAATTAACGTACAATGAACGTTCCTTTCGATTTCTGAAGCCTTTCTAAACATTTTCTCTCCGCACAAAAAATAAAACCCTTTCTCTTCTTGTCAACACATCATGTCATGGTGTGCTAGTTTGTAGTTTATTTTTGGAGTGGGGGTCGGGGGGGGGGGGGGGGGAGGGGGGAATAGTACTTTTTTTCCTCCAGTTTCCATCTTTGCAGTTAAATACTGATACGAAAGCAATAAACACTGAGGATTCCAGGAAAGCAACTGGTGAAAGAAATCGACAGAGTATGAGAGAGAGAGAGAGAGAGAGACCACACACACACACACACAGTCACAGAGAGAGTCACAGAGAGACACAGTCACAGAGAGAGTCACAGAGACAGGAGAGAGAGTCACAGAGAGTCACACAGACAGAGAGAGTCACAGAGAGAGACACACATCGTCACAGAGAGTCACAGAGACAGACAGACAGAGAGTCACAGAGAGAGACACACATAGTCACAGAGAGAGTCACAGAGAGTCAGACAGAGAGAGTCACAGAGAGAGACACACATAGTCACAGACACAGAGAGAGTCACAGAGACAGGAGAGAGTCACAGAGAGTCACACAGACAGAGAGAGTCACAGAGAGAGACACACATAGTCACAGAGAGAGTCACAGAGACAGACAGACAGACAGACAGACAGACAGACAGACAGACAGACAGACAGACAGACAGACAGAGAGAGTCACAGAGAGACACACACAGTCACAGAGAGAGTCACAGAGAGACACACATAGTCACAGAGAGAGTCACAGAGAGAGACAGTCACACAGACAGAGAGAGTCACAGAGAGAGACACACATAGTCACAGAGAGAGTCACAGAGACCGACAGAGAGTCACAGAGAGAGACACAGAGACAGGCAGAGAGAGACAGAGTGTCACACAGACAGAGAGAGACACAGGCACACAGAGTAACACAGAGAGTCACACACACAGAGAGTCACACACACAGAGAGTCACACACAGAGGGTCACACACACACAGAGGGTCACACACACACAGAGGGTCACACACACACAGAGGGTCACACACACACAGAGGGTCACACACACACACACAGGGTCACACACACACACACAGGGTCACACACACACACACAGGGTCACACACACACACACAGGGTCACACACACACACACAGGGTCACACACACACACACAGGGTCACACACACACACACAGGGTCACACACACACACACACAGGGTCACACACACACACACACAGGGTCACACACACACACAGAGTCACACACACACACAGAGTCACACACACACACAGAGTCACACACACACACAGATCACACACACAGAGTCACACACACAGAGTGTCACACACACAGAGTGTCACACACACAGAGTGTCACACACACAGAGTGTCACACACACACAGAGTGTCACACACACACAGAGAGTCACACACACACAGAGAGTCACACACACACAGAGAGTCACACACACACAGAGAGTCACACACACACAGAGTGTCACACACACACAGAGTCACACACACACAGAGTCACACACACACAGAGAGTCACACACACAGAGAGTCACACACAGACTCACCTGATGCTGAGGTCTGACTTGTCTTCACCGAACACAGCCCCAAAATAAACAACATGGACCTGAGGAGCCGCTCCGCTGAGGACAAAGTACACGGAATACATCAACCGATCGACCGATCAATTAACAAATACATAAAGTAAATGAATAAAGAAATAAAAACATCTATTAAGGAAACAAACCACACAAAAGACGAGAGAAATAAAACGTATGGGATCGTTCTCACCTTCCATACTGAGCCCGGGGGGGGGGGGTGGGGGGTGGGGGCTGTGTGTGAGGGTGTGTGAGGGTGGGGGGGGGGTGTGTGTGGGGGGGGGGGGTGGGGGGATGAGGGTGTGGTGTGTGGGGGTGTGTGTGAGGGTGTGGGGTGTGGGGGGGGGTGAGGGTGTGTGTGTGTGGGTGTGTGTGTGTGGGGGTGTGTGTGTGTGTGAGGGTGTGTGTGAGGGTGTGTGTGTGTGGGTGTGTGTGTGTGGGGGTGTGTGTGTGGGGGGCTGTGTGTGGGGGGCTGTGTGTGGGAGGTGAGAGTGTGTGTGTGTGGGGTGTGTGTGTGTGTGAGGGTGTGTGTGAGGGTGTGTGTGTGTGTGTGGGTGTGTGTGTGTGGGGGTGTGTGTGTGGGTGTGGGGGGGGTGAGGGTGTGTGTGAGGGTGTGTGTGAGGGTGTGGGTGTGGGGGGGGTGAGGGTGTGTGTGTGGGTGTGTGTGTGTGGGGGTGTGTGTGTGTGAGGGTGTGTGTGAGGGTGTGTGTGTGTGGGGGGGGTGTGTGTGAGGGTGGGGGTGTGTGTGTGAGGGTGGGGGTGTGTGTGGGGGTGTGTGTGTGGGGGTGTGTGGTGTGTGGGGTGTGTGTGTGTGTGTGTGGGGGGGGTGTGTGTGTGGGGGGGGGGGTGTGTGTGGGGGGTGTGTGTGGGTGGGGGTGTGTGTGGGGGTGTGGGGGGGGTGTGTGTGAGGGTGTGTGTGGGGGTGTGGGGGGGGGGGCTGTGTGTGGGGTGTGTGTGTGTGTGTGTGGGGGTGTGGGGGGGGGGGGCTGTGTGTGTGGGGGTGTGTGTGGGGGGTGTGTGTGGGGGTGTGTGTGTGGGGGTGTGTGTGTGTGGGTGTGTGTGTGTGGGTGTGTGTGTGGGGGTGTGGGTGTGGGGGGGTCTCGAGGTGTTCGGGGGGAGAGAGAGAGAGGAACAGTCAAACTTCCGTCTGTTTCGGGTCACTATGGGCGGATTATCGCGGGTTCCATAGCGGATCGGACAGAGGAGAAGCCGTCACTCTCTCTCTCTCTCTCTCTCCGGGGAACAGCCTCACGTCCCGTTAAATGCCGCGCGACCCGCGGGGGAGAGCCAATCAATTGGGTCCCAGTTAACCGGCGTGAGGGGTGTGTGGGGGGTGTGTCTGTGGGGGGGGTGTGGGGGGGGGGTGTGGGGGGGGTGTCTGTGGGGGGGGGTGTTGGGGGTGTGTCTGTGGGGGGGGTGTTGGGGGTGTGTCTGGGGGGGGTGTTGGGGGGTGTGTCTGTGGGGGGGAGTGTTGGGGGGTGTGTCTGTGGGGGGGGTGTTGGGGGGTGTGTCTGTGGGGGGGGTGTTGGGGGGGGGTGTGGGGGGGATGTGTGGCGGTGTGTGTGTGGGGGTGTGTGTTGGGGAGTGTGTGTGTGTGTGTGGGGGGGGGGGGCTCTCTCTCTCTGTCTGTCTTTCTTTCTGTCTCTCTATCTCTCTTTCTATCTCTTTATTTCTTTCTCTATATCTCTCTCTCTCTCTATCTCTCTTTCTATCTCTTTCTCTCTCTATCTCTCTCTCTCTATCTCTCTCCCTCCCTCTCTCTCTCCCTTTCTTTCTTTTTTTCTTTTTCTCTTTCTTTTTCTCTTTCTATCTTTCTCTCTTTCTTTCTTTCTTTTTCCCTTTCTTTTTCTCCCCCTCTTTCTTTCTTTCTTTCTTTCTTTCTTTCTCTCTCTCTCTCTCTCTCTTCTCTCTCTCTTTCTTTCTTTCTTTCTTTCTTTCTTTCTTTCTTTCTTTCTTTCTTTCTCTCTCTCTCTCTCTCTTTCTTTCTTTCTTTCTCTCTCTCTCTCTCTTTCCTTTCTTTCTTTCTCTTTCTTTCTTTCTTTCTTTCTTTCTTTCTTTCTTTCTTTCTTTCTTTCTTTCTTTCTTTCTTTCTTTCTTTCTTTCTTTCTTTCTTTCTCTTTCTCTCTCTTCCCAGTCCCAGGACAGACCCAGTCCCAGTCTGGAGGCAGATGCAATCACACACTCAGGGATTCCTAACCGAGTTCCCTTTGGACTTGTCTGGTCCGTGTGGGTTCTCAACTGCTCACAGTGCAGTGGTCGGTGTCGATTTCTGATCCATTTTTCGTTCACAAAAAAAAATAAGAGAAGCCACACACCTCCTGCAGGAGAGAGTCCGAGATTTACCCCCAATTCCAACTCCCTTCACATTTCAGGAGCGTCCAGTATATTTGAATGCACATATAGATATATATTTCATGTCAATTTATCATATTTATGCTTTCCGGAGGGAATTATTCTCTCTCCTCCTCCCCCACCCCCACCCCCCCACAGAAAAAGAAACGTAAGAATAATTCGGGCGCTCAATCCACGACTGTTTGTGTGGGGGGGACGCTGCTGGGCGCGATTGGCCGCTGCGTTTCGCCCGCGAAATATACGGTCAAGTCACTTTGCGGTATAGCCAGTGAGGCGCCCTGAGACGTCTCGAAGACGTGATAAGGCGCTGCATCAAATGGGAGGGTTATTATTGTTACTATTATTATTTTAAGCACAAGGATTGGTTTCCGGTGGGGGTGGGGGTGGGGGAGGTGTTGCCAATGGAGCTCCAGGGTTGCATAACGGACTGGTGAGAGTGGATCAATAATAATAATAATAAATAATAATAATCCTTGCATTTGATATAGCGCTTTTCACGTCGGGAGGACGTCCCAAAGCGCTTCACAGATCATACTGTAAAGTGAATTGACTGTATATTTGTGGGCGAACGCGGCAGCCAATTGCGCACAGCAATGTCCCACAAACAGTCATAGATTGAAAATGACCAATTTATTATTGTTTTTGGTTTTGGAGGGATTATTATTAGGCTCTGTGTGGAGTAAGGAAACTTGCCCAAGGTTTCGCCCTCTGCCTGGAATTGAACTCAGGTCTCTCGCTTGCAAAGCGAGTGCTCTAACCACTGAGCTACAGGACTCCACGTATTGTATACTTACTTACAATATCCTGTTGTTTTGTTTGAACGCCTTTAGGGTATGAATGAGTCTTCGTCTGGACAACTCTTTTGCTTAGGAGCCAGCGAGAGGTTTGATGGTGTCATGTGATAAATGGGAAGTTTGTTCTGATGAGGAAAAAGTGCTGCTGATCCAAACTGCTCCTTTTTCCCATGCGTTCTGATGTGTTTAAACACGCGGAGAGAGAGTTTCTCTGCTTCGCCAGGCTGGAAGGTGGGGGGGGGCATTTAATTGCATAGTTTACATGTGTTTTGCTGTAGCTTTGGCTCCGAGAGCATGTTCCGCATGAGCTCAGAGCAGCCTGCAGTTCCGCTGGCTCATTCTCCACAGTCTCCGAGGCTCAGGTAATGAACGCGTTAACAGAGGCTACTCACTGAAACTCAACCCGCAGGATCTCTCAATCATGCAGCAAATCGAAGCCAAACTGGAGCATCTCCCGGCTCCCAACCGAGTTACAGAGAAACTTAACTTTCCAGAGAAAGAAAGAGATAGAGAGAGAGAGAGAGAGAGAGAGACAGAAAATGAAAGAGAGAGAGAGAGCTTGTGAGAATGCTTAGCTCAGATGCACAAATTTGTTAACTGTCTCGTGTGCTTGTGCGTGTGTATCAGTGTCTATGTGTATCTGTGTGTGTGTGTGTGTAGGGGTGTGTCTGAGTGTTTATGTGTGTCTGTGTGAGTTTGTGTGTTGAAGCATGTGCGCGTTTGCATGTGTGTGCATGTCCGTGTGTGTGCATGTGTGCGTGTGTGTCTGTATGCATGTGTCTGTGTGTTTATGCGTGTTGTATGTGTAGCTGTGCATATGTGTGTGTGTATCTGCGTGAGTGAGAGCGTGAGTGTGAGCAGCCTGACCCAGCTAATCTGATCAGTTTTTTTTTTTGGGTGGGGAGGTTTGGTTTCCAGGACCCCAGACACCTATTGCTATTAAAAGAAACGTTAGTGATCCAGACTCGTAGCGCAAGTATCAGAGCTATTTCTGAGCAATAAATAAATAAACCACGTGTGAATGCAGCTTTTCACACCGACTGCTGCTCTTTCCATCGCTGCACACAGTACCACAGCAGCTCTACAGTCACACCACTTCCAATGTTCACGGTTTAGAATTGTGTCGAGGCTGTTCCTCCCCTGTTCTCAATCTGACCCCCAGCATTTATTTTCGCTGTTGGGTGGATAAGCTTCCACTTTTACTTAGCGTTTGCAGCTTCATATCCTCTCTGATCACCCCCCCACTCTTAATTCCTTTGGAACTCCATCCCACATTCTCTTCATCTCCCTCCCTCCCTTGCCTCCTTCTCAAGACCCTCGCTTTCGACCGTGCATTCGGTCACTCTCCTACCCTACCACCTGCCCTCCACCCTGCTTGATCCAAACCCCCCCCCCGCCCCCCACACCACTCTCCGGTCCAAATCCCTGACTATCCAGCGCCTTGGGATGTCCTCCTGCTACAGTACTCTCGGAAAGGACAAGGATTTAGTTGGGAATTTGTTCCACGTATACAGTAATACTAATCATCATCGCATTTGGTATAGCGTTGAGATGTCTCAAAGCGCTTCACAGGATATATTGTAAAGTGGATTGACTGTGCATTTGGTGGGCAAAACGCAGCAGCCAGCAGTATCCCACAGTCATGGATTTAGAGACTATACTTTAATAGATGCATATGTATGTGTGTGTGTGTATGTTATGTGTGTATATGTATGTGGATGCATGTGTGTGAGTATGTGTATGGGTTGGAATGTGTGTGTATGTGTGTGTGTGTGTGTAAACGGATGGTTTTAAGGGTCGGCTAGTATTGATAGCACTGTAGGCAACAGATCCTTTTTCTTTACTCAAAGGATCCTGTAGCTCAGTGGTGAGAGCACTCACCTCGCAAGCGAGAGGACCTGGGTTCAATTCCTGGTCAGGGCGAAAGCTTAGGCAAATTTCCTCACTCCACATGCCTCTGTTTACCTAATAGTGAGCAGCAACCTGGTTGTTAGTCAATTGGTGGATCACTTTCCAGTTGTAACAATCCTGTGATAAGGCGCTATATCAAATGCAAGGATTA